CTAAGAAAAAAAAAGATTAAAAGAAATCAAAATCCATTTCAACATTTCGAAATGGAATTCATTCGAGGAGTTGACGAAAATGGTAACGAATTTTAAAATTTAAAAAAGAAAACTATATATGAAAAGTGCTAAATTTTATATCATACCTTAAGAACCCAATGATAAGAACTCTAGAACCTTGCAACATGGGAAGTTAGGGGACCAAATATCACTTTTGACAACTATAACCCTTGGACCAACAGCTGACTTCTTGAGTTTTGACTTCTTGGGTAACTAGGTTATTCAAACTATCCACAATCGATCATACTTTGGAAGTAGGTATTGAGCTAAGACTGTCATGAATCCGTATGTAGACTGTTTGAAGTGTTTTAGGCATAGCACAGGTTTGATGTAGTGTTTATTTGTACTTCTGGAATAAGATTTGAGTAGTAGATTAAACCCACGCTCATCTGAATCACTTCATGGATTTTATCATGAGTAATTATGAGATGATAATATCTTATATTCTTGAAACCAAGACATGTGAGTTATAGTTTACCTGTCGGTTCCACATTGACATATGTAAACGCACTAGTAACTTGGTGTTATAAAGCATATTGTTGTGTGTGATTTGATGAGTAAAGTACAAACAAACATTTGAGTTGAATTTTATCCATTCCTTTTACCCAATTTGAGATAAAAGCGATACCTATAGGATTCTCAATGATTTAGTGATGACAACTCTAAGTGCTTGGCCAAGCCTGGACTGATTTGATTTGTTCAATTAGTCGGTCGTCATAAATCGAAAATCGGGAAACAACACATGAACAGAGAGAATGATTATAATCCATGACTTAGTTCATAAGATATCCAAAATGGAGGAATATATGATCCCTTATCTAATGGACGCGTCATTGACTAGGTCAGAGTTTGATAGCAGCTTTTGAGAGCTAGATTGCTAGTCGGGATTTTGGAGTCGTACTTGCAATAACAGTTATTAGACTTATCCAAGTGGGAGACTGTTGGATTAGGTGTGTAAGCCTATAACTATTATTGGTATGTACTTGACCCGAGAGTAGCATGGTCTATTTGGGTTGCCTTCACTAGAACAATCTGACATGATGGATATTTGAGATAGAGGTTATTTATGATTTACTAATATAGTATAAGTATAATATATTAATTGAGAAATCATAATATTTAATAAGTATTGATCAAGAATAAATTTGGAATTAATTTAGTGATCAAAAGAGACTAATTAAATTAATGGGGACTGATTATGTAAATCAATGACAAATATATTATTTGGGCTATTGATCCATGATGGGCTAAGTTTATGTAAATATCCATAAGAGTTAGCCCACATAAGATATGGATCATAACCCAAGTGTATGGATTAGGGTTTACCCATGACTATTGGAATCCTACACTATATAAATGTTACCCCTTAGCCAAAATCGACATCCTTTGCATTCAAAGAGAATCATCACTGACTTTAGTGATATCTAACCTCTCTCTTAAAGTCTTCCTTTGTTCATGGTGTTTGTGAACCATTTGAAGCATCACACTTGAGGTGCTAAGCTCTTGAAAGGCCAAAAGTACAACCTACAATAAAGAGGTATCATTCTAACTAGTTTTAGGATTAATGTACCAAAATTGTATGCTAGTTGTAGGCATCAAGCTTTGGAAATTTTAGTACATGTATAACTATAGAAAACATAGATCCAAAGCTATTAGGGTTCATGTGCACCATAAGAGTGTTATAGTGCTTAAAACCAAACATTGACGGCCATCTATAATCCTCAATGTGGTAAGATAAGGTGTTGCCACCTTCCCTGCTGCTGCTAAACTCGGGCACTGGGACCGCTTGTGTCCCACTGATTGCACTGAAAGCAAATCAGATATGATGTTGTCGTGGTGGTGGTAGTGGCTGTGCAGTCTCAGCTCACATGACTAGTTTGGCCGCACTTGTAGCAGCCAAAACTCCCTGCCTTGCACGTTCCCTCGTGCATCCTGCCGCATTTGCCACTACGGCCGTGGCTTTACTGGCTTCGAGATATGTGACCTGATACCTTGGGCTTCTTGCCCGAACTCCCTGACTGACCCCTATAGGTTTCCTCTTCCCCCTCTATCTATAAATCCATCTCTCTCTCTCTCTCTCTCTCGCTCTCTCTCTCTCTCTCTCTCTCTCTCTCGCCCTAGCAATCATGTCCTCCATCGTCTTGCAGCTGCAGCGGCTCACAAACTGGCGGATATCACTCCGCAACATATCCTTTTTTATCTCCTCGTTCGCCACGTACTGTAGAATGAGAAGGGCCCTCTTCCTAAACTCGGTGGTGATCTCCGTCACTGTCTCTGTCATCTGCTCAAGATCCTGAAACTCCCTAGCAAGTTGTTGCACCTCTATCACAGGTGCAAACACGGCCCTGAACCTGGTCGTAAGTCACTCCAAGTCATAGCATCAAGAGGTGCATCATCACCCATGGCATGTCTGACCTCCTCCTACCAGTCACATGCCTTGTCCTACAAAAGATAGGACATAAGTCGGACCTTGTCCCCCTCGGGAAATCCGCTGGTACGGAATGCGTTGGCGACATCCGCCAACTATCTGTACTCGCAATAGGGTCCCGAGCCCTATGGTAGTAGGGAATTCCACAAGCCCTGAACTCTTTGAAAGTCAGTGTGCGCGACCCCCATCATGGGCACTACCTCAGTGCAGAAAGCACTCAACCTCTCTTTCAAAAGCTCTAGATTATCCTCCTTGATCGTGTGAAAGATCGCAGGAGTCTGATCCAGGATACTTCACATGATCTTAGAAGAGATGAACTCCCTAGTCTGGGCATCTAGTTGCCCGACTCCTGAGTCTGAGCCTGATCCCTCATCGACGTCGGAACTGCCAACTGGTCTAGGGCGTAAAACCACCATTCTGATCAAAATAGTAAACAATTCTCAAGGGATCATATATACTAGAAGTTCTTTGGATTCATCTTAGCCTTCCTTGACTCGAGTACAAATCCTCTGCTTTGAGTAGTATGGGCCCATACTACCTTCCACATCTATTCTTACTTTCCTCAAGAACTGCCTTGACTTCACCAAGTGCCTTGTACTACTAATTCTTCATGCGTTACTCTCATCCTAGGCTTGGCCTAGGGTAATCACCATTCCACTCTCCACCATCAGTTGTATAATAAGTCCTTGCTTTCTTCCCCTAACTAACTCGCGAACACTATTACATATCACTCATACTAGATAATTCTTCAAATGAGAGATCCTACCATAGAACGGTTGTTCTCAAACAAGAGCTGCAAAATATAGCTAGACCTAACCTTCTTAAATTATTTAGTCCTTGCAATATGTAACTTAATATATTCTTTTACTAGTTAGTAAAAGACAACTAAAACTCTTAAAAGCACAAAGCAAGCAGCATTCAAGCATTAAGTACGTATAATCAAGCCATCATACTGACTAATTTGTACTAGCATGCACTTCACAATACTACTAGAAAAACAGCCTTTTACGATGCTCATTGCGTGTCATAAAAGGCTCAGACGACGCGCAAATGCGCGTCAAGGAAGGCCCTGTCATAGAGAGAGACGACGCGCTTTTGCGCATTGTCTATAGACGACACGTATTTACGACGCTCATTTACGACGCGCATTTACGATACGCAATGCGTATCAAGGAAGGCTCTGTCATAAAGGAAGACGACATGCATTTGCGTGTCGTAAAGGAAGGCGACACGCATTGCGTATCATTAAAGCCCCTGTCATAAATAAAGATGACACGTATTTGCATGTCATAAACTTCAACAACCATTTACGATATACATTTGCGACGCGTCTTTACGATAGTCATTTATGTATAAGACAAAAATGTGGAAACAAATATAGATCAAAACAATCAATTTCATCCAATAACATCATGTCAAAAAATTGTAATACATTAGTATTAAGGGGATCTGATTGTACATTGTTATTAAGAGGTTTTCCCTAACTATATAACCTAATACTACATTGCTAAGGGACACCTTGTTTCTACTTCTCATTGTTATGCTTCTGTTTCCACATGATACCCGTTTTCATAATCAACACATTAGTATTCAGAATAGAATTAACAACTCATTCCGTTACCCCTTTCATCATAATTCCATTCAATCCAACCAAACGGTTCCCCAAGTAATCAACACTTTCATACCTCATTCAAAAGGGAGTTTGCATCACAATGATTGATGGAGCACAACTGATTTGTATGTCTTGATTCTGATCGAACTGAGAAAACAGAAAAAATTAATGTGAAAAAAAAAACTTTTAGTCTACATTACAAGTTGAAATGAACTTCACCAGAAGTGTGCATTAAGAAGAAAAGAAAAGTATATCTGAAATTATATTTTTTCACAACAAAATATAGAGGTGGACTAATTCTGAGATACTCTGAGACATTATTAAAATAACCCTGCAAAAGAAATGATATTTTAAAAACGTTTTAACTGTTGGCATATTACCACATAAGCTCATTTTTTTTTATAAATAGTTGTATTAGAAGCTTATCATACCTGAAGATATGAGTCTCGAGGCAGCAGAACTATTTGTTGTTCTCAACCAGGTTGAATCCTTATACATAATACCTTATAAGTAATTAAGATGAAAAATTGAAAAATATTAGAGAGGTGTGAATTGAAAAATTATTTGAAAACAGACTAAGAATATTCGAATAAAAAAAACTTACAATGTTGGCCAATGATAATGCAACAAACAAAGCAATGACTACAAGTTTGACCACCCATAGACCTAAGATGGGTGGATGACCCCAAAATAGAAGTTTTCTTCACCAAATGACATCACCAAGTAGAGCTAACGATACAAATCTAACTCTTTCCAATATTCCAGCCGTAATTTGTACATGCCCTAAAAAAACGACATTATCGTAATTTTAGTATATGGAAAGGGATTTAACTTCACATTGAAAATGAAATTGGGCATTAGGTGGTTCTTTATCTAGATCTGTTGTGGAAACAAAGACATCTACCCTGGAAGATTAGACTTTCCTGAAGGGTTTTGGGGACACGGTGTTTCGAATGAAGAAACAATCGAAGAACGTCCATTTGAACCAAAACTAGAAGCCTGCATTAAGAATAATTTTCAAAATAATAAATAAATAAATTAAAGTTGGTTGCTATTTCTTGCATTTAAACACACAGATATGGACTTATAATAACAACAAATGTTTTGAGTTTACGAGTGAGAGGACGCCATCGAGTATATTCCCATCTATATTTATCGCAAGACCATCAATATATAAATCCCAACACACTCTCCCATCCACAATTGACAAAGATGAAAGATTGATTCCAAAACATTTTTGAAAGATTTTGTGAGGGTAAAACGGTCATTTGAACCTTGTATTGTGGTGCTGCTGTGGGACTGCAATCGATGTATACAGAAACGTTTCCTTTGTCAGGGGTTGAACAACTTGGTCTTCCTAATGTAGACTTCTATCAACAAAGACAAACATAACAAAAGCTGATTACAACCTAGATAGAATTAATATCTAGTTATTTTCAGAAAATAATATTGTAAATCGATAAAAAAAAAAGTTCAAAAATATTAAAAAACTAATGGAATAAAAGAATCATCCCCAACTTAACAAAATGGAAAGCATTACCTTCTATAAAAAAAAAAGATCAAATTCCATTCCATCAAGAAAAAAAACTTATTTTTCATTCCAATGGAATGAACCATTTTATTATATACTGTATATATTATTTCAAATAGCAAATAAAAAAGCTCTTAAATGTTTATAAAAAAAAACTATATACCATAAAATCTTAACATAACATAATTAAATAATTGTTTTGACGTTAATTAGGAAAAAGATTGATTTGATTGAAACTTAAGAAAAAATATAAAAAGATTTTTCTTATTGAAGAAAAATAGATAATACAAATAAAACTAATTTTTAAGTATAACATTATCATTCCTTTCCTTCAATGTATTAAAAAAACACCCCTCCCTCATGGAATGAAATTCAAACCAAACATGATGTTTTTTCAATTCCGACGGAATCAGTCATTCCATTCCAAATGTATTCAAAAGAACACATATTATTATTACCTACCTTAGTTAAAGTTGAATCCACCAGAAGGAACGGAAAATCACCACCTCCAAAATGGAAACCAGTAGAAGGAGCAGCTGCATCGCCAGGTGGCATAGCATCATCCACTTCCTCCAACCAATAAGTCTCAAGAAGCTTCACTGCTTTCTCATAAATCTCACTGTTATCATGACTCTGTAAATTCTCAATCTTCTCCATCATCAATCATCTGTGCATAAAGATTCACATCCCCTGATCTTCCCAAATTCTTTTCTTTTCACCAACTAAACAAACTGTCAATATTCTTGGGTCTGGACATATCAGTAAATCACACAAAAGCTTAATACATCCCTCACTTACCAAATACCTACATCCACCATTTTATTATCAATAAATATATATATAGCTTTTGAGATGTAAATACTAAACAAATTATAATGAAAATTTAAGTTTATGAATCCCACTTGATTTGGTCATGGCTTCCACCAGAAGTAGCATTTGAGATAGCTGATGCAACCTCCTTTTTGATGTCAAATTCTTCATTTTGAAGCAGATGAATAAGAGGGCCAATGATATTTGCTTCAATGAATGTCTGTAAAAATCATAAAGTAGATATATCAGTCAAGAAAATAACGTTTGATGTTTAAATCTTGATGAAAATTTCAAATTATGACCTGAATCTGCTCCTTGTTTCCAGCAGTGATGTTTGATATGGTCAACAAGTTGAGACGACAAGTCAAAGGTATGACTTCAGTTTTACCCATCTTCACTCTTGCTGAACCATATGCCTGTCATTAATTAAGCTCATTAAGAAGATAAACTAAGTGTTTTTATTAAATAAAAAAGAATTTGAAAAGGTTTTTACCTGAGCAATGACTCCAGTTTCAATAGATATTGGGCGATAAGTTAATCTTTTACCAAAATCTATACATATAACTTTTTATCAACATAGGTTTCATCCAAATCAAAATCAAAGCATTAGAACAGTAAACATAAAAATTATACTTGACTGTTAAGAGAAAAAAGATAGAAAACCTGGTGATTCAGAAGGTAGATTGAATTTGTACATACATGGTATTCAAGAACTTCATGGAAACACGAAAAACAAAATAAAAATGATAAAAACACAAAAAAAAACATACATTTGATAGATTATATGTAGCCAATTATACATGCTTGTGCCTGTATTTTACTAGTTCTTCCTTTCCTCTCCTCAGTTTTCTGTCCCTGTTGCTTTGTTGCTGTCAAAAAGCTTACACGTTACACTTAGAGCATAGCATTGTGAGATTTTGCTTTTTACCATTTTTGGATGAAAAGCTTTGTGGGGACTAAGTTGTCGAAACGTATACAAAGTGGCCCACCATTATGGTTAAACTGTGTGTATATTTTTATTTTAGTATCTCCATCTTTTCTGATAACAGGGTCTTCTAAAATGGTATATAACCCTGCAAAAAGTTCGAATACAAAATTGCCTGCATGATATATTGTTCTGTTTTAGACATTTTATTCTAAATAAAAATCATATATACCCTTGACTTCCGATGTCAAACATAGGTAGTCAGGTATGTAATAGTGTATGGCGTTTTCTCAAGTTTTATTTAGTTTATTTCGTATTGATTCTTATAATTGGTTATTTAGTTTTGATTACTATGCTTTAGAAGTTTCAGAAATGATTTCAGTGTTTATGTTCAATGTTGGTTCATTTAACCATCAAAATTTAAAATCTCTTCCTTTTGGCAAATTCATTTGATATTTTTGTTAGAAAAGACGAACTATATTTCCAAATGACCAATTACACACATGTAATAACACAAAAATCAGAGAATGTGAGATACGTAGGTCTTACCTGACAGGAAGAAGTAACAGAAGACAGTCGATCCCCATATATTGCCAATCATCCGAAGATCTTGAGAGGTTACTGATACTTTCCATAACCTCTTTAGATTCTGAAACTCTTGTTCTTCCAACTGGGGTGTTTTGCATGATGTTTTGCATAGAATTAAGCCAAAAGAATTAGCTTAAAATATTTTCATGTACTTGGACCTGAGAAAACTTATCAACATCTGTGCCAAATGTAGAAAAGAACATGAAAGGGAGCAAACGATATACACATATCTATATATAAACATTCAACAACTAATTTCTGCATAGAGGTAATGTTTCTTTCACCAAACATACATCTGCTTTCAAAAAGAAAATAAAAATAAAGGGCTACAAGAGTATCGGCAAGGGGGAGGAGAAGGGGTGGTCGGCAAGAGGGTTGGAGGAAAAAAGAATTTGTATATGGAGTAACAGAATGCGTGGTTGGTGCTGCTTGATGTTGGAGAAGAACACGCCTGGTGGGCGATGGAGGAACTAATTAAGACGGCGACGACTTAGGGTTTCCAACGGAAGGGTTTTTTTGACCGGCTTAGGGTGGTCGGCGGAAGAGAACATGAAGAGGATAAGAATATGATGATTTTGTGTTTCTTTAATAACTTCCAGGCTCTAGCAACTAGAAGATATGAAATAGGGATGGCCCTAAATCGCCGGTGTGAGAGGAAGAAATAGAGACGCATAGTAAGCGTGAGAAGCTGCTGTGAACACCAAGGCTTTTGTGAGGTCCGGTTCAAAGCCCTAGTATCTTTGTTGATTATGTGAAGATGGGCCATATGTGAAGATAAAAGATGAAGGCACACCATATCTAAAGAATTTTGGGCAAAGGTATGGTTGGATCCGATTCAACTATAGATTTTAAAGTGGCCATAGAATTTGCAGAGCTTGATAAATTAGGTCAAGGAAAATAAATGGGGCTTTCCGCTGGTAGGAGATGAGAAACAAGGCGGGGGTTTTAATTTTTTGGGATTTGATTTCCCCCTCATCTGTTAAAGATGGAGAACGCATGTTTGATGAAAATTTTATAAAACGACATGCTTAGATGATACGCCTATTATGCTGAGTGTCTTCCGTTGTGACATCCCCAAAATCACGGCCAGAAAAGACCGGTTTTGTTTATACTTTATTTCAAAATCAGAGTTATCTTTTAATAAAAGAATTGCGGAATTTGTCCCAAAACAATAATATGATAAAGATTTATCAAAAGCATTTCCATAGAAATGTATTTCATTAAAAGACTCGGGATGTCATGTTCGTACAGATCAAAAGTATAAACAGTACAATATAAGCCTTACTACATTATTTCATATCTACAGGCCTATATCCGTAATCCCTCGTCCAAAACATCACACCTATGCTCATGCGCCACTACCTGTAATACATAAAACTGAGTGGGTCAGGCTTGGGAGCCTGGTGAGCACATAGGGTTTTCAACCCACAATAAATAAGTTTATTAATTTCATCAATCAACAATAACCCGATTACCCGTTCCCGTTATCCTCACTTTACGTCCCTAAACACCTATCATAAGGGACCTAGCCTAAGGATCATCATCGGGACGGACACTTGCTACTAAGGGGATTCCTCAGCAATAAATGTCCTAATAGGCAACCATGTGGGGGATGGAGTACACCGGTGAACACATCGTTCACAACACCTACAGGTTGCGAGCCTGCTAGTGTTCCACTGGACTGTCTAGAAGAGTCCGTGGTCGTCATCTATACTCCGCTAGATGACTGGATCAACAACAACAACATCGAGGCCTCTCATCATTTTATCACACATCACCTATTACATCTACCCATGTTTTACCCCAACATTTTCGTAGATATAAAATACATATACAGTTTAAATCATTGAAAACATGTATAACAACGTTCATCTAACATAGATAGCAAGTATTCAGATAATATGCACACATAGCACGTAATTTATATAAAATACTTCATATCTATGTGTAAGTGAAAGTAACTATGCACTCACCGAAAAGGTGGTGATTCCGAACTCAGACAGCGCTTCGCTTCTTAAAAAGAATTTTCTTCGACGAAACCTAGTATTATTACCACTAGAGTTTAGTTTATTATTCGTCGAGACTAATTAATAGTCTAGCTATTATTATTATTATTATATAAGCGTCAAAAAAATACTTATATAACCCATAATAATAGCCCAAGTATTTATTATAAGTTCCTAATAACGTTACTATAATTAAATAAAAGTTATATTAAAAATAGCGTAGGCGTAGCTCACTTACAGCGGGTTTTATAGAAAACCGGGCTTTGCTTGGAGCAGCGTTCCCGAGCCGAAAAGCTCTTCTTCTCGAGCCTTCGAGCACTCCGGGGCTTCCGCCTCGTGCTAGGGAGGTTCCCTAGGCTTTTCGGGGGATTTCGGGGCTAGAGAGAGGTTCTAGAGAGAGAGAGAGAGAGTAAAGAGAAGAAAGAATGGGAAAGGTGTGAAGAAAATGAGGGTGGGAGAGGTGGTATTTATAGGGTGAAATGTGGCTGAACTTGGTGCCACATGTCACCATCTGGTGGCAAGCCTTGGGGAGAAAGCAATGGCCAAGATTGTGCCACATCACCCATTTTCGCACAGCACACTTCCGACTTCTAAAATCCGTAACTTTCACATACGACCTCCGTTTTTGACGTTCTTTATATCCACGCGTAGGTAATAATAAGATCTACAACTTTCATTTTGACACCGTCAGCTAATTCTCGACCGATCTTAAATTTAACAGTACAAGGAGATTATACTGTTAAACGTCTGCGTAAAATTAATAACTTCTACATACGGACTCTGTTTTTGTCTGTCTTTTTACCGTTGATTTCCTATTAATGAGATCTTCAACTCTCATTTACGTTGCGTAAGCCAAAAACCGCTCGAACTAAAATTCGAGTTTCAGGCCGTGCACTGCTAAGCCGAATCTTAGAAAAATCATAACTTCTTCATACGAAGTCAGATTTGGGCGTTCTTTTTATCGATGTTCTTAGTTTAACATATTCTACGACTTTTGTTTAGATTGCTAAGGCTAAAAAGTCTTCTATCGTAAATTCACTATTTACGTCTCCCGGTGCCGTGCCGGTTTTGCCGTAAAACTTCGGCGGGCCATAACTTCTTCGTTATAGCTCGGATTTCGGCATTCTTTATATGTACGGAAACCTTGAGACATATTCTACAACTTTATGTAGAGATATCGGGATTATCTCACACTTTAATTTTGACGCTCATTTTTATTCTTTATTAATTATACATTTATAATTAAATAATAAACACATAAACACACATAATTCACATAATACTCAAATATTTCATATTTATTACTTCAAAAAGAGTTACAATAGTTGACC